TACACTTTTATATAAAAATGACTAATATAAACTTAAAATATTTATTCAATTATTAAATTATATTAATATAAATTTGAAATATCAATTCAAGTAATTAAAATAATTTTAATTTTTTTATAAATACATTGAAATACATTTTTATTAACATACAAGTAATATATATATATATATATATATATAAAAGACTAAATTAATAATTAATTTAATCATTATATATATATATATAAAGAGACTAAATTAATAATTAATTTAATGATTTAGTGATCGATTCAAATGATCGAATCAATGATCGAATCAATGACCGATTCAATGATCGAATTTAATAATCAATTTTATTTTTTTATTCACATATTAAATTAAAAAATAAAATAAAATAATTATATTACTAAATTATTTAATAAGTTAGTAAACTATTTTTTAAAATTTTTATAATGTTATTAAAATTTTTATCAATTATTTTAAATTATTAAGTAGATTTATATTTAATATATTATTAAAATATTTTTAAAAATATTTATATAAATAAAAAAATTGTCACTAATTTATAGATTATTTTTTTAGTGACTGAAATTTTAGTCACTAAACCAGTCATTAAATATAAAAAAGAAATAATAACTGAATTTTTCGGTCACTATTAACCATTTTTGTAATAGTGACCGAATCAATGACCGATTTTCGTGATTCTGAATCAGATGACCGATTTTCGTGATTGAAATTTTAGTCACTAAATATAAAAAGGAAATCAATTATTGATTCAGATTACTATCAGTGACTTAATTTTTCTCGTCACTATTAACTATTTTTTTAATAATGATATTACGATACGAGACTTTTTTTCTGCCCAAACAAAGGGGATCAGAACAGAATGAAACTTTTTTTTAATTTCATTTTATATTTTAGCAACAAGTTATTGCATTACGCTGTATTCTATTTAATCCACAACTAAATATCCAAAACATTTTCTTCCTTAGACTATGTAGTTGTACATGAAAGTGCAAAACCCCCAAACATTGATCAATATAGTTCGTTCAACATCTCATAGATAAGAAAAAAAGAAAAAGATAATTTCACTCGTACTAGAACATAACTTTATTTTTCTTTTGGTTACATGAAAAAAAAAACTTTATTTTTGTATTGGGTACATGGAAAAATAACAACTTTATTATTCTTTTGGTTACAAGGGAAAAAGTGGTATATAACATTGATGACTTTTATTCTTGGGGAGGCAGGTTTGCATTTTGTCTCTGGTTGAAGCAACAGCATCATCCACTATAATGCTAAGGAAAAAAAAGTTTGATGGAGGATAACTGTTTTGTGCCAAACGACCATTGACAATTTCATTTATTAATAATAAAATAATAATTTTGATTAAACCATTTTATAATTGTAATATTAATAAACCAAATATGATTCTCTATATATAACAACACTAATGATAAAGTCAATTAGAAAAGGCTTCAACATGCCAATCCAAGACTTCACAATGTGAAAACTGAAAGGTTATATATTTTTGCACTCCACAATATCTAGAAAACTTGTTCAGTTTTCGCACCCTTTTTGTAACAAGCAACAAGGACAGAAAGTAGAGCCACCACCATAGAAAAATATGCTGACTGTATGTAACCATGATATTGAATTTTCATTAGTTATGAATTTAATTTCCAAGTGATGACCACCCACCCTAAGTCTTCAGTTAAGGAAGCAAAGAAAAATTGACTGAAAAAATTGCAATTACTTCATAGTGTAAAGCAACCTGAAAGGAGACTAATAATAGCCTCTTAGCATAGATGTCAAGTTCTTCATGAAAATAATGTAGGGTACATTCACACTCATGTCTTACAATTAAGAGTATCTACAAAAAAACTTTAAATAAAATCTTATTGTACTTTCGATGGACCCCACCAAATTATATATTTTTATGTATATAAAATGATGACTCTTATCAAATTTATATATTCTTATTATTTTTCTTTTACTCTACAATTCCCTTTGAAAATTAGTGTTATGAAGAAATGGTAGTGGACATTGAAAATTTGTTGACATGATTGTAGATGTAAAAATGATTTTTATACAAGACTTAAATCTTACATTTAAGTATCCTATCACACCACATCCACATGTTCCAATTAAAATTTCTTATAAGACGTGAGTCTTAAGCTTAAGACCTTTATTAAAATATTTGCATGTGAAATGCTTACACAAGGAAAACCGACATCGTTTCTCATACACTTTTAAAAATTAAAACTTTGAATAGACCACTACCAAGTTGATCCCCAATTATTACCCTCTTTCCTACATACAATTTAAAGTAATCATACTATTTAAAGTAATTTCTGAAATATCAAATATTCTTCATTTTAACCCTGATGTTAATATACTCTAATCATGTTTGAAAATAAATTTGAAAGTTTTTTAATATTTCAAGAATTATTTAACATGTTTCTAAGGTTAAATAATACATCCGGGGTGAAATTACTGATCTAGGTTTATTGGGCTGTGTGCTGCTGATTCTTTATGAATTGTCATTCTTCAAAATTTAAGTTTTTAATTTTGCCATGTACTTGCTGCAGGTATTTGATTTAGCCGTGAAAAATTGGAGAAAAAAAAATGCACAACTAATAAGACACTTGGTAATGTCATAAATAATAACGAACTACACCATAGTTATGCAGCACAAGGCGAAAAACAGTTTCTTTGCAAGTTTGATATATCTTCCTACGTAAGTCTAGGCTTGCAAAAAATAGTATATGAAGCTTCCACCACATGAGGATTGGCATACACCATTAGTAATGATAATTAAACCCGTGACCGTGGGACCCATCAATTCTCGTCTCGAGTTTGACGGGAAAAACCCGAGTTGACCGGAGACGGGGGCGGGTTCGGGTTTTCCCGCTTTAAAAGTCGAGCGGACGGGATGGGTAATACAATCCCCACCCCGACCCGACTTTATATTTAAATTTAAATTTTAAAATATTAATATTCTAAAAATATTTCCTTTTCTTTTTTATATATAATTTTTTTATATTTCACCAAATTTTTTTTCTTCTACCCACTTTTTAATTTTTTTATCTTTTTTAATCTTTTATATCAATTAATTTATTACATTATTCTTTCTCTTACCTTTCGATTTTTCACATCTCCTTAATCTCTCCTATCAATTTGTTTTTTTTTCAATCTTTTCAACCAATTTGATGAACACAAAGTTAATTTTTTTTTTTATTCTTTATCTTTTTCTAAATATTTTACATAAAGTAGTAACTAATATTATTTTATTTATAATTTATATTTATTAGGTTTTATTATATCATATTTTTTTATCTTATTATTCTTATTTATCATATATCAAATTTTATCTTAATAAAATAATTATATTTTAAAAATTAAAGGAATTAATAATTTAAATTTTTATTACTTCGAACTAATTGAATAAGAATTAACTTATTAAATATTTCCTTATAAACAATATATTTCATATTTTTAAATGACAACTTAAAAATGAATTAACTTATATATATAATCAAATGTTTGAATACAGTATTATAATAATAGTATTATAAATATTCAAATATTTGAATACAAGTGTTATAATAATATTATTATAAATAAAAAATGATTAAATATTTCTTTTACATACACATTTTAATATAAATATAATAAATTAAAATGTATATTTAATTAATAATAATTATAAATATTTATTTATATATAAAAAATAGATAGTAAAATTAATTCATTATAAATGTAATTATTTTTTTAAAAATAATATAAATCGGGACGGGACTGGGAACCCGAAACCCAACGGAGATGGGATGGGGACTTAATTTCTAACCCCGACGGTGATCGGGGCGGGACGGGAATGGTTAAAAAAGTTGGGGCGGGGATCGGGAGGCAAAACCCGCCCACGTCCCGCCCCGTTGCCATGCCTAACCATCGTAACCTTATCATTGATACATAAGTCCACGTAAACATGATATATATATATATATATATATATATATATATATATATATATATATATATATGTTTACCATAACTAAAAATAAATTTATAATGATTTAATCTTAATAGAAATAATGTGCAACAGGTATAAGGAACAAAAATTTAACAAGTCAAGCCTTGACAGAAAAACAAACTATGGTCTAAGAAAACTGTTAAGGTTCCAACATAAAACCAATTGGCTATATGTGGAGTAGCCTAACATGTATTTAAACCATACCAAATGATATGAGGTAGGCGATGTGGGACTTTCAACACACCCCCTCCAACGAAGCCTGCCGAACCAGGCAAAGGGTACTTTTGACCCAACTAAAGGGCAACTTTTGGCCCATGACAATAACCGGAAAGATGTTAGGCTTTGGCTCTGATACCATGTTAAGGTTCCAACATAAAACCAATTGGCTATATGTGGAGTAGCCTATCATGTATTTAAACCATACCAAATGATATGAGGTAGGCGATGTGGGACTTTCAACAAAAACAATTCACACAGCATCAAAATTGATACAAGAGAGATGAAAAAAGCAACAATTTCTTTTATGAAAAAGCAGTACTACATTAGTGTTTATAAAATCCTAAAGGAAAAAAATTCGGTCCATATAACAGGGATGGAGCACTGGCACCCCAAAATAGGATCAGCGGTTGGCCCGTCTCCCTTTCAGCCCGGTACCTCCACTATAACAAACACTACAAAAATTATTAAAAATATTTCTTCACCAAGTTGGACACACCACAACCTTTTCGGGTTAGACCCAGAATTTGAGTCATCAACTTTACCTCTTTCATTCTTTCTAGTTGCTTCTGGGTAATTATCAACTGAGCTAAGCTTTCTTACAGCTGAGATGTTTTACCTAGAGAATATGGTCACTATCATTATCATAGTGATTTCCATTCTCTAACATAATGCCACTATCACTATGCTGTACATTTCGTTCCAAATGGTAAGAGTAAGTACAAAGTTATTATGTATAAGTTCCATTATCCATAAACATCTTCTTTAATGACTAGTCATCATAAACCCAGTTGTTGACACGAGAATGACGACCTACAAATCCTCCTTCCATTTTTGAGTCTAGCAATTGGAGTTGTCTTCTAACCCATGGAGGATCATATTCACTTAGCCACAGAACTTCACCAGTATCCTTGTGCTTAAAATCAGGCTGTTTTGAATTTAATTTGCACTTTCTTTGATCCCACCACTCATTTGGATCGGCAAAAAACACTTGCCAAAGGTGGAGCCGATTTTGATTATTTTGCATGCCAACTTTGGCTATAATTGTTTATGATAAGAACAGGATCAGATAATGAATGAAAGATTGAAAATAAATTAGTTTAAGACCAATGAGGCAACATAAATTGTTCAACCAACCAACTCAATCAAGAAGAACACAGAAGCTTGTGCAAGCAAAAATGCAAATGGGATATGAAAGCGAGAAAATAATATTAGTTTATAAAAAAATTCATCTCACTAGACTTATGTCTTGAAGTGCATAGCAATAACTCCTCTAGTACTAATACTTCCCAGCAAAGCAAAAATGATTACTTAATATGCATAAAAATGCATAAGATTTTCCTCAGATTCTTTTTCTTCTGTACTTATTAGATTTAAAAAATCAATATCTTCATCCAAATATGTCTTTTTTTCTCTTTTGTCACTAAAATAAAATTTGTTCCATCAATAGAAAGCAAATATTCATCTATACTTGCCAGCGGTAGAAATATTGTTTGTAAATAAGAATTTGTCTCAACTCTTTAACATCACCGTTGACTGAACTACTTGGGAAATATGTTTCAGCACTTCCAAACAAGATGAATAATAAAAAAAAAAAAAACAATAGGTCTTGGCATTTGTACGAACTTAGCAACCAACAAAACATACCTCCAACAAATTCCAACTTCTTGTGACCTTGATAACCGGACCTTTGAGTAACAAACTTGAACTCCTTCACATCTAGCTGTAGGGAAGTAAATGCAAAGAGAGAGAAATATCCCACGATGCAGGTTAAAAAAAGAGTGATGATAAGTGAGGAAATTGAGCATACAAACACCATTACTACATTTTCAAGGATAGGAATTTACAAACATAAGCATAAAATGTTAAGACCCAATTCTCAAGACAATGGAGAAATAGGAAAAAGAGGAATGCTTTAGTGTGAAATATACATTTAACAATATGATATTGATAGGGGATAAAAATTTTATTGTGCGAGAGGATATTAGCCATCAAATAGCATCTTTGGATTTGCTTAAATTACAAGAGAAGATTGCTTTTCTTTTTCTTTTTTTTCCTCTTCCAAAATGTCTCTTCGAAAGATATTGACTACAAGCGACTTTGAACATTAAATAAACTAATCCAGCTACCCACTAAATGAAATATTTATCACAAAGACTTATTAAAGGATCATATTAGCTAAACTGTTAGTACAATCGCAATAAAGGAATACTCATAATCTGGTTTCAGACAGGCACAAAAAGAAAACTTAATACTATAAAGTTCAAACCATGATTCGTGATAAAATGTAGTAATGCTTTGAACTGAGTAAAATTATGATGAAATAGTTCCCCAAGCAGAAAATCCAGGGATAAAATTGCAGCAATGGACTACTATTATTTCCACCAAACAGAACATGGACCAAGTACCAACATCTCAAAATTTCAATTGCTTGTCAATTGTCCCTTTAGTACACAAGAAATAACACATGGAAACCCAAGCATAATTAAGCACACACATAAGGCATACCAAAATAATCAAACTGGGAAATTGAAACTTAAAAAAGACTCTTGTTTTCCAATAGTATTGCGCAAAGACTTTTACACTATCTATGAATTATAAATAATTCTAGATACAACTCTTTAGAGTGACACACCCTGAAATTGCATCATATTACCTCCTATACTAACCCCTCTATTTGTTTGCAACACATTACACTGATTATCCAAGAAACACAGATTACTATAATCGTTAAAAGAGCAATATCAAGAAATTTCATCGTATCAGTGTGATTTGCTCTAATATTCAAACTAATTATCCCAAAAGTTATGAGAGGTTTATGAATACTGCCTAAATAACCTTGTAATTCAACCGAGGGATTCCACTGGCATCAGGTTTAATGTAAGATCCCAAAGAACCTGAAGCATAAATAAAATCATTTGGTTTCAAGTGCTCCAAAGCAAGTTCTGCCACACTGTTCCACATCATCAGAAGCACCCTGGTAAACAAAACGCACAGGTGTCGTTTCTGTCACAATCTCCCAACCGAAGCAATAAAAAAACAGCAAATTTCATTGAATTTAAATAAAAATAATTCCACAAAAAAAAGAAAAACGCACCAGCAAAAGGAGCTATTTGGTTGGTTGGATCTTCGAAACTGGAGCGAAGTGTGAACTCCGACTTTACCGGTTTTCGAGTTAATACGCGCCGGCTCGCGCGTGACGGAGCCGATGAAGCTAGCGGTGTTTTCCAGGCGCGGGCTCCACCGAATAGTGGCGGGACGCTGAAATCTGAGCGTGTGGCGATAAACGGCGCTGCATCCCGAAACGGTGTCGTCGAAGGAGTGGCGATTGTGTGTGGAGAAGGGAAAATATCGTGAAAATATCGACGGAATTGGATACCGTTTCATGCAGATGAACGGTTTCGGTTTCATTGGCTCCGGCAATCAGGTTTTCCCGCCGGCAAATTTGCTTTGCGGTGTTTTGGATGGTAGGGTAGTTGCCCTTCAAAATTAGACCCGGTTTACACATTTCCTTTTTCTCTGGGGTTTTTCGGGTAAGGTTGCTGAACTTGCTGGGAGACTTTAATTTTTAAAAACCCAACTTTACCCCTGTCGTTTTTAATTTCAAGGAGAGGGCATCTCCCCTTCTCCCGTTGCTCAAAATTGAATAATTTAAAAATTAAAAATTAATCAAAATTCTTTTTTATAAATTTTATATATTTTTTTGTAACTAAAGCAGTTTGATTTAAATTAAATCAAATCAAATTATATGTTTAAATTTAATTAATAATTAATAAATATATAATAAAATATTTTTTAAAAGTTTTTCTTTTAAAATAATATACAAAATATGCATCTCAAAAACTTTCTTAGATTAAAGATGATCAATCGTATGTTTTCATGTTAATATCATAAAAATAAAGAAATCAATTATAAAAAAATTTTTTTTTACCAAATCAAACCTATGAATTAACCAAAATTATATTATAGAAAGTCACGTTTGTTCTAAAAAAAAATCTACTATAATTAAAAAATTATTCAAAGTATTTTACTTTTCAACCGAAAATTAATTAACATATCAATATATTTATTATATATTTATTGTCTTTCCAAAATCTATAATAAACAATAAAATATATAAATTTACAAAAATTTCTATAAAAAATTCATTTTCCTCTAAATTTTTAAACAATAATATCTATTTTATAAAATGCATCCATCATAATTTTAGAATCATACATGAAGTCACTTAGTAATCCAAAAGAAATTTAAAAAATTACTTACACTCTCACCCATAAATAGGATGGCAAAACAGATCGAGTCCGACGGTCGCCTCGACCCATCATAATATGGGGAACGGGTTGGTGTTTTGACCCACTGACCAGCTTTGGTCCGCCCGCCAAATCAGTCAACCCGTCGGACCAACCCATGGGACGTGGCGAGCCAGACCAGCGACACGCCTAATTAATAAAAAAATATTTTTTTATTGTAATAAAATTAATTATAAAGATAATATATAAAGTTAAAATTTTTAAAAAGAGAATTAAAAAAGTTTCACTCTTACAGAAAATATTCTCCTTACTGAAACACAATTTTCTCTCTCTTGTTCTCCTTGTTCATCTAAGCACGGATTATTTTTATCCTTATGACTTGAATTAAAAGTGTAAGAATTACTCAACCAAGAATAATGTGAAGTTTTATCAAATAAAAAAGATATAGGTATTTGAATTTTTCAATATAAAAAATATAAATTTTATAAGTTTTAACATTATATATATATATATATATATATATATATATATATATATATATATATTTGTTATTATTTATTATTATGTAAATTTTATTATTGTTCTAAATTATAATTTCTTAAAACAATGTATTGATTTATATTATTAAATTGAAATAATATATATATATATATATATATATATTGAATTATTGATAAACAAGTAATAATCTTATTATTAAATTTATTAAAAAAATTATTTTAAAGAATAAATTATTTTTTTCTAAATTATGGCCCGTCAGCCCGCCAACCCGTCCCTTGGCGGGGCGGGCCAAGATATACAGTCCGTCATGACTATAAAGGGTCAGCCCGCCCCGCCCCACTTTTGGTGGGCCAAAGGCGGAATGAGCCAAAACGAGGTGGGCTTTCCCGTTTTGTCATCCCTACCCATAAAACTCCTCAAAATGTTAAAAATGTCATCACAAGTAAATCCCAAAAAGTCTCCTTAATATTACATCTAATATACTCGTTAGAGAGAAAAACTCAATTTACCTAAATTATTGTAAGATTTTTATAGCATAAATCGTAATATTAAAATGTTTCAAAATCTTGAAATCATAAATAGTATTATCCATAACATCTTTAGAAAGGTTTCAAGTTAATTCAATATTTTCTTTCATATTACATAAGGCTTGATCAATGTAAGGATAACATCTTGAAATCAAATGGGATTCCACAAAGTCCAAATTATCCAAACCATACTCATCACATTTACCAAAACTGCCTGGTGTACCTATATGCCTCTTTGTAGGAATATAAAATATAATAAACCATTTATAGATGACATGTCCATGTTGCACCAACTACTTGGTATAATTAATTCCAAAATTTTAGAGTAATGGGATAGTGCAAGGACAAATGTTCCTTGATTTCCTCCAAACTATAGCACAAACTACACATAGATCCCAAATAAAGACCTTTACACCTAACTATATCATCATTGGGCAATTTCTTATACAATAATTTCTAAAGAACTAAAGAAGGTATATGCCTTTTCTGGATAACTTTCCCAAGTTTTTTCTTCTTGCTTGTTAGAATGATTTTGTCTAGACACTCTTTTAAACTATTCACCTTCTAAAATAGAGAAGAAGAAATGTTCTAAGATCTCCTAGTCCAGGCATCAGCAACTAAAGAGACTAATCTACTACCATTAAAAACATTAAAGCCCAGGATGTGTACTACTGAATCCTCTTTGCACCATGGAGGTGTCACACTACTTGAAGAATGTTTCCTCAAGATAAGTGGCGAAGAATCATCAATTGATTTATAAAAATCAAGATAAGACTCAAAGAACAAGAAATCACTAATGCAAGTGTTTCTCTCATACTAAAAATTTCTTATATGACATGATATGATTTTACTAGAGAATAAATAGTCATTAATAACATTTTCATGACCAAAAATTCAAATAAAATGAGTCTTGAAATGAAATGAAATTAAAAAAGAAGAAAACTAAAATTTAAATTTGAATATAATCTTAGCTCTAACAAATTCTTAGCCATGATGTTTTACTTTTGGTTCCAAACTCATCTTGATTATGTACTCTAAGAGGAGATGCGTTTCATGTTTGGTTTACACTCTCCTTGCTTCAATTTAAGTGTCTTCTCAGACTTGGTCAAATTTCCCTTTTATTGGTTCAAATTGGGTTTAATTTCAATTATAATTGTGGATTACTTGTATGTTTCTCTTTGACCAAAGTTATGTTCCTTTTGTTGGCCCGAACGAAGATCCAAAATAAGTCCTAGTTACAAAAAAGGAAACCCTATAATACAAATGAAGAAAATTAAATCCTATTTATCATTTTGTACAAAATAAAGATATATTTTTGTGAAGAAGAGAATTTTTTATTGTAATGCTTCTTATTAATCTTTTTAGAATTATATACTCTCTTATTCATTTTCATTTGTTATATTCATTATCTCATCTTCCTAGTCCAAGCATCAATAACATAGGAGACCAATCTACTACCATCAAAATCATTAATGGCCAGGATATGTACCAGTGAGTCCTCCTTGCACCATTTATCAATTTAGAATCTAACCCTTCCCTCATTACCAACCTCCCAATGAGTGTTTTCCCTAATTACTAGGAGTGATCTAGATATACCTTGTGATAATAACGACAATTTATACAATGATAAACCAACCTTTTCTTTTGGTTGAAGACCAAACTCCATTTGATCGTGACCAACTTCCTAAGATTGATATCTCCATACCAAATGAAATTTCTAATCCATCTTTCCATATCCTTAAGAAGCAATGTAGGTCATCTATGTATTTGAAATTGTAGCTAAGGATATCAACAATAAGCAAATTTACAAGTCATACCCTGCCCATCAAACTTAATAATTTACCTTTCCAATTACCAAGTGACCATTTGATTTTTATCCATCAAGTTCCTAAAATATCTAGCCTCTTGAACACCTTTAAATAAAGGAACTCTTAAGTAAGTAAGAGGTAGACTATTGTTACCCAATCCAATAATATATTTAATATTTATGTTTAAAGCAACAAAAGTATTTCCTGCATAGAAATTATTATTCTTAAGGTTACCTTGAGGCTTGATCATAATGCATAAACAAATCTACTAGATTTCTAAAATATCATTAGCATAAAGGACATACCTTTTAGACTAGCCATGTTAAGGATCTAATTTTGTTGTACAAAGCCTATAATGTCAAGACTAAGAACTTTTTCAACAAGACAAAACAATTAAAAATATTTTAAGGATGTCCTTGTCTAACACCTCCTTCACACTTAAAGTAGTCCACTGAATCCTTATTAAGAAAAGTAAGTAAGTTAATAGAGTTAAGTATAAAAATTATCCAAGGATAAAAGTTTATCAATGAAATCCAAATTATTTTAAAATATTCACTAGAATTTCTCAACCAATAGTACCAAAAGTTTTTTAAAATTTGATTGTCTCATTTCCTCCCTAATTTTATTATCAAGCATATACATTATAAGGGAATACATATGCAATACATTATAACCACGTTTTTCACTTGAATCACAGCTAATCAAAGTTCCAAGGATTTTTGGCAACAATATTTTGGCACCATTTGTGGGAACGGTAGAGTGTTTCCTACTACACAAAGGAAAAAGTGCAAAAAACTATGAAAGAAACAAGAAACCTATGTGATAAGATAATAAGCAAGGAGAATATTTCAAAGGATGAACAAAGCATCATAATAAATCTCTAGTTTGATTAATGTTGGCTTGAGTAATTGATCTAGAAGGATTATAAGCTTATGCACCTCCATGGGTTTAAGAACCATATGTTCATGAACAATAAACATCATGGTTATCAAACTTGCGAGTCAACTCGCTGACTCGGACAAGTTAACGAGTCATGTAACTAATGAATGTTTTTCCTAATTACTAGGAGTGATCTAGATATACCTTGTCATAACAACAACAATTTATGCAATGATAAACAAACCTTTTCTTTTGGTTGAAGACCAAACTCCATTTGATCATGACCAACTTCCTAAGGTTGATATCTCCATACCAAATGAAATTTCTAATCCATCTTTCTATATCCTTAAGATGCAATGTAGGTCATCTATGTATTTGAAATTGTAGCTAAGGATATCAACAATAAGCAAATTTACAAGTTGTACCCTACCCATTAAACTAAATAATTTACCTTTCCAATTACCAAGTGACCATTTGATTTTTATCCATCAAGTCCCTGATATATCTAGCCTCTAGAACACCTTTAAATAAATGAACTCTTAAGTAAGTAAGAGGTAGACTATATTGTTACCCAATCCAATAATATATTTAATATTTATGTTTAACGCAATAAAAGTATTTCTTGCATAGAAATTATTATTCTTAAGGTTACCTTGAGGCTTGATCATAATGCATAAACAAATCCACTAGATTTATAAAATATCATTAGTATAAAGGACATACCTTTTAGACTAGTCATGTTATGGATCCATTTTTGTTGTACCAAGTCTATAATGTCACGACTAAGAACTTTTTCAACAAGACAAAACAACAACAACAACAACAATAATAATAATAATAATAATAATAATAATAATAATAATAATAATAATAATAATAATAATAATAATAATAATAAAATTAAGGATGCTCTTGTCTAACACCTCTTTCACACTTAAAGTAGTCCATTGAATCCTTATTAAGAAAAATAAGTAAATTAATAGAGTTAAGTATACAAATTATCCAAGGATAAAAGTTTATCAATGAAATCCAAACTATTTTAAAATATTCACTAGAATTTCCTAACCAAGAGTACCAAAAACTTTTTAAAATTTGATTGTCTCATTTCTTCCCTAATTTTATTATCAAGCATATACATTATAAGGTAATACATATGTAATATATTATAACCACATTTTTCACTTGAATCAGAACTAATTGAAGTTCGAAGGATTTTTTTACAACAACATTTTGGCACCGTTTGTGGGAACGGTAGAGTGTTTCCTACTACACAAAAGGAAAAAAGTGAAAAAAAAAATGAGAGAAACGAGAAACCTATGTGATAAGATAAGTAAGGGGAATATTTCAAAGGATGAAGAAAGCATCATAATAAATCTCTAGTTTGATTAATATTGACTTGAGTAATTGATCTAGAAAGATTACAAGTTTACGTACTTCCATGGATTTAAGAATCATATGTTCATGAGCAGTAAGCAAACATTACTAATATACACGGAACGAGATAAGATTGAAGTCTATTATTTATTTATTTATTATTATCATTATGTCTATTTACCAATTTATTATTAACCAGTTAAAAAAATGTATATATATATATATATATATATATAAACTAAGGATTATATTATTTATAAAATAAGATAATTAAAATTAAAATTTAATTCTTTAATTTAATGGTTTAATAAAAAATATTAATATATTTTTCATTAAGGTTACCGTGTTGTTCTTTAAATAACATCTTTCACATAAAACAAGAAAATAGTAGTATTTTTGAAAATAATCTTTTATATATATATATATATATATATATATATATATATATATATATATATATATATATAATACTAGTTTAATAATCATACATTTATAGGTTACTTTTTGTTTTCTAGTAAGAAATAACCTTGTTATTTTTCAAGTAATAAAAAATTATTAATTTATTATATGATTGTTTATTATTAAATAAATATAAAATTAACAAATAAGATATTTGTTTAAATATTTATATATTGTAAAATTATTATGTTTTAAATTTATTAGTATACAAGACATTATATTTGGGATAATTGTTGACTGATTTTGGTCAACTTTGATATTATGTAGGTTCGTCTTAAGATTTTGACTGACATGGTAACTCTGTGAGGTTGGACGACATAATGATCCTATGAGATCTTACGACACGATGATCTTATGAGATTATATGACACAATGACCCTATAAGGTCCCAATGTACAAATATAATCTTAAGATGATTGAGGTTGATTTCATGACTTTGTCCTATAGCCGAATGACATGACAAAATAGCAAAGAAATTTGACTTATTTTAAACCTTAACGTATGAAACTTGAGACTAGAAGGTCGTGTGGTGTTCGAATAAATTATCTCATTATGTAACCAATCCAACAATGAGGTCATGACACAATATTCTTCCTTAGGAGTGTGATTCTAAAAATCTCGTCTAAAATTATAATTTATTACTATAAATCTCATATGGCGATAATCAAACTATTTGATAGATATAATAACATAATTTTAGACCCTAACCCAAAGATTATAGATCTAAAATAGAACAACTCGTTCAAAAGAGATTTAGGGTTAAGTTACAATCACTTTTTTCAATTGAATCACAACTAATCAAAATGTTGACAATAATAACTATCAAGTCTACTCAATAACATTATCATTATTCTAAAACTTAAAAATATAGTTGGAGTTATGACAACATTTCACCATATAGAAGAATTTTGTATTTCTACTCTGACCAAGAAATAAGTTTATTTTAACTTTTTCCTTTCACAAAAATTTCAAAAAATTTCTAGTTGTGCATTTTTTTTCAAGCTTATAAAGATTGTCATTCAATGCATTTTTAAGTTGATGTATAACTATAGAGCCTCCAAACCATTTTTGTTTTTATGCACATTTTCACAAACATTGCAAATATAATATTTTATTCTATATTTAAGAGCACTCTTTAACCTTTTTAATTTTTTGTTGTAGTATGAAGATGACGTCTTACTATATTTTTCTACAAACTATTTTATCACTTCTTTACAATTATCATGTCATTCCACGTAAAGAAAATTTAAATAAGACTCATTTGACACGCCTTGTTCGTAAAAAAATAAAATAAAAGGTGATCATTATCATATATAAATACAATGTAAATCTTATAAATTATATAACCATTCCAAATTACATTTTACACATTTTATATGATTAATCACAAATTATTATTATTTAATAATAAAATCACAAATTTATTATTTTTAATAATTAAAAACATCACAAGTTTTTTTAAAATACAAATGTTTTAAATCTCAACTAAATCATCCTTAAACCTCAATATAATTTTTTATAAAATATTAAAACTTTTTGGACAATTTTTTTAACACAAATCTCTTGGAAAAAAAAGTTAAACCTTAGTATAATTTTTAAAAACTATTAAAACTTCATATTATATTTTTAAACTTTAAGTAAATAGTCTTTAAATTGATTTTTTATATAAATAATTGAGTTAAATCTCAACATAATCCGTTTAAAGAATATTAAAGATTTTATACTTGACATATCAAATAATTTTCTCAACCTATTTTTTTTTCTAAATTAAGTTAACCTTAAAATAATTCTTTTAAAGAATATTCTTTTTCATACATTTCAGGCCTTGACCAAATTATTCTTAAACCAAATTCTCTTATAAAAATTGAAATTAAATTTTAACAAAATTGATTCCAAATAAATGTAACTTCCCACATCTATATGATAATTTCCCTATCCTTGTCTAATAAATATCCCCATCTTTCAAAATTTTTTAATTATTCTTTAAAAATTAAGTTATGGAAATTAGTTGAAAATAAATATATGACTATTCACTTTTTTTTTCTCTTTCTCCTCTAATTATTGATGCTATTTACTTTTTTTTTTTTAATTTTTATCTCTTTTCTCTCTCCATTTCAATCCACTACATTTAGATTTTTATGTCTGATTAAGATGTGATAAAAAAATGTTTTCTTTAATGCAAACCAATAAAGTAGGAATAACACCTTTATCTGATTTTTGTGAACAACTTTCTATTATACCAAGGATTTGTGCTCCCTTATTTTTGTTAATTTTTCTCAGTTATTTTGAAACTCTCTTTCTCTAATTTTACAAACCTAAAGTATGAATCTGCGGTTTTGGTTGCCTAGGACCTTCTAAAAACTTAACATTTAAAAAAAAAAAAATTAAGATCTTAGATCATCTTATTGAAATGTTATAAATTAATTTTATGAGATTTAATCAAACTTATAATTCACTTTCTAGTATTATATATATAAAAAAAAATCTGGACATTGAAAATATATATTCTAAAACTTTTTTTTTCTAAAATCAAGATGATAAAAATTATAAAATAATTAATCTTAAAATATTCAGTAATAAATACATTAAGATGAATTCAGAGTAAGGAAAATGATTTATCATATGTTTATATTAAAAAACTGTAATATATTTCTTAAAAGAATGACAAAGTTTTTAGTTAATTTGTATAAAAAATTTGTTATTGTCTATCATATTTTTTAAAATAGTCATTTAATATAAAAAATAGGATTAATTATTGTATTATATAAAATTATTTGCATAATTAACCTCTTACTTTAATCTGGACAGTAATATATGGTTGTTTTTCCAGTAATAATGTTAATAATATAAAGCATCACCCTTGTCCCAGCCTCAGTCGCTTTTTCTCTATCTTCATCACACACACTTCAATCTTTTTCGCTTTTGTCTTTCTTTGTCCTTTGATTGTTGGCATAAATTAATTAATATTCTCCCTCCCCTCTTTTCACAATGAGAAGCTAGAAGTGGATGCTGTGTGAGCTTGTGAAGAAGAAATGTGAGAAGGATCTTGGTTTAAGCTAGTGTCCGCAGCGCAACCAACAACCAACAACCTCACTTGACAGTCGTGGAGTGCAACAGGAACAGCCCAGCTACTGCCTAATGGGTTCGGAGCAGAATCGATTTCCTCAGCATGAAAGAGTATATCTTTCTCACTCCCTCATTCTCACTCCTTCTTCTGTTTACTCTTTCATGAATTTTGTTTCTAAACTACATAAATTTATGCATTATAGATTATTTCAAGTGTGAAAAGGGTTTTTGGGGTTAGATCTGAGTTCCCAAGTACATAACCTAACTCCAAACTTGTATGTTTTCGGTTAGGGATCGGTTTTATGTTTGTTCTTGCTGTTTTCATTCTGTTAAGCGCATATCTTCTTCAGATCTCACTTCAAACCATGATAATTGCATTAGTAACTTAGTTTGTGTACTGGGCGCCATTGCTTTTCTGTTTACACTTGCATCTGTTAGTGTTGGAGAACATAATGGACGACAAACAATTAACACGGCCCGAAACCTAGTCGATCATTTCCAACCTGCCCGAACTACACATGGACCGATCTGATGGCTGAATCATTAGTTTTCAAAGCTGCTGCTATTTATCATTTAATAGAAGCTTTGTAGAGAAATATTTCCCCATAAATTAGTGTGAATAACAGCCTACTTTACTTCTTTAGGTGCAGTTTGTCTTTTCTTTTTTATATTGTACTCAATATTTCTGTCAGAATCTAGATCCATCACATCCATGTTTGTCTTTATGCTATTTATGTAAACCTTGATTTTGAAAAGCTACTGAGAATTCTGTATCCTGAAGGATTCTCATAATTTGTATGCAATAGAAATAAGAAAATAAACCCTCAATATCAATAACTATTTGAGATTGTTTTTTGTTTTATTTTCTTTAGTAGGCATTGAAAGAATACCCTTGCTTATAATAATAAATAGATTCTTTCTTTCTCTTCCTTTTTTTCCATTTATTTGTGTAGGGTTATGTCATATCCTATAGCTTCGACTACCCATGTTGATAAGGTTGTCAAACGCTTTAAGTAACTCGGAAACTGTTACAATTTCATGAGGTAGAGTAAACCGGCTAACTTTTCTAGATAAACTCCCATAAACTCTGGAGTGAAGAAGCTAGCTTGAAAACGAATACAATTTTTGCCCCCCCCCCCAGCATTGACCCCAGGTCAAAGTGACAGTTTTTATCACGGCTCAAATGATTTGAAGAAATTAAATCCTTTTTGACATGTGTTCACTTTAATAACTTATGTTTCACTTTTTGAACTAATGATTTTGTTATTTATGTAGTTCGATCTTATTTAGTACTCATTATATCAGACTTTATTATTGTGGTTTTATACTTTGCTTTGTAACGAAGTTCACATGTTGAATTGTTGTGGTGTTAAAGAATATTTGGTTATTCATATATGTCACTATAAAATTTTTAATATTATGGAACTTGTGAGAGTTTATGACATGTGGATATGGTAACATGTAAGAGTTTATGACATGTTGATATCGTAACATGCAAGGGTTTATGAGATGGTATGTCACATTATGAGATAGTAGTTTGACAACCTAGTTCATTTGGATATGGTAGGTCACATTATGAGATGGGTGTTATTTCAAATAAATGCCTAATTTAATTCAGGCATGGAATGGTGGATTGGTACTGTTATATGGTTCTTATATATATTTGTTCATAATTAGTAAGTATATGATGTAGATTGAAGCTAGAAGAATCTGTACTTTTAAAGTTTATTAGTAATAATGAATTACTACTTGTATATAAATTCAATACAAGTTTAAGGAAGAAGTCATAACTTCCTGAGGGATTGTGCAGCTTTCCATACATTGACCAGAAGCCACCATCATTTCAAAGTTATTTGGTATTTTTGGTTAATACCAGGTTCTGTCACCCGTTTCATACAGTTTCTTTTTATTAGCATACTTGACTTAGTTAAATTTAAGATAGGAACAGATTTATGGGGTTATGCTTACTGTACTTCTCTGTGATTTGTTGGCTTGAATAAACTGCTTGTTTAGTTCAAGAATTATTTTCAGGATCTAAATAAGATTTGGGAATTGGCAACATTGTTTATTTTCGCCCTTTATTGATTGGCCTATGGTCTCTATAATGGAGCCTTCTTTCATAAATACATAAATATTTTCCTTGCGCCACTGTTTAGGAGTACAGCTTATTCTCCATTATTCTGATATCCTTCTTCCTTCTCACTAGTAATGCCCAGATGCCTAAAAAAGAAAAAAAAGAAAAAAGAAAAAAAGAGTAAGTATCCTTGTAGAGTGTTTTCTTTTCAGTTTCCTATCCTTAGTTATCACATCTTTGGTTCTGTCATTTATCCTAAATGAAGTTGGCCCAATTATCACTTATGTCTCTTAAAAAAGGGTAAACTATTCTCATCTACTATGCCTCTTTTACTTGTCATGTCTGTCAACCTGTGGGATAAGAATATCTTGAAAAATTCCAAGTTTTCTTTCAGTGCTCCTAATTTGTATACTATGTAGTCAATAGCATCACTATCATGGTGAATCCGAGGGCACACATTTGCAAAATCTGAGCCAGTGCGACCACAAAAGGCTCTTGCATCACAGGTTTGTTGTTGCAGGAAACGAGTTGCTAGTTGTAAAGGAAACATGGAAGTCTTGCGTGTTTATGGCCGTGGTTTGTGAAACAGTATCAAAAATTGAAAGCCAGACAGGTTCCGTAAACTGTCCGTCACTGGACAGTGTTTGTAACACGCCATTGTTGCATAGCTCTGCTTTTGTCACTGTTAACCTAAACCTTCCAGTCTTCCATCTTTGCTCTGTGCCATTGGGTTTCAGTATCAAACACAGGTGGTGACACTTACCTAGCTGAGAGCTGACAGTGAATTAGGGTTTTGGTGGAATTGGGCAATGTGGACCAAACGTTTTCCAGTGTATCTTTTCTCCCTTTTTGTTTTTGGTTTGTTGGGTGTCAGTTTGAGTCCATTTTAAATTTTTGTTCTTTTAAATTATTACATTTAATATAATAAACGACAAAATAATAGTAATAATGAACTAAATAAAGCATGTGTAAATGTAATAAACTTAACAGTCACAAACAAAACAAAACAATATAGTAAATTGAATGACAACAGTAATGAGAAAACTAAATAAAGCACAACATATAATATAATAAACTAAATAATGATAGTCATAAAAAGATTTAGAATATTAGTCATCCCTCCCGGTATCTGCTACCCCTCATTAGTTGTTTTGGGCTCAGTTGCTTCACACTGCTATCTAGGATTTTCTACTTATTTAATATGTACATTTATTTCTGTATACCCTATGGTACTTGGATTGAACATTTCGTGGAAATGAAATAGGTTAATGCTTTGCATAAGATTGGAGGAATAAATAGGAGGATTGTGTGGTTCGATGAATAAAATACTACTAAGGATATATCCTGTCACTTCCAGGAATGAAAATTTTTGAGAAAGCGTTTTAAAACAAACTATTCTTGTGGTATATATTTACACCAAAACCTCAAGCCAATATAAGCTTATTTATGCTAAATGTCCTGAGAATAGCAAACTCGCGCAGTTCTTAGCAGAAATTACATATCATCAAAAGTGATTTTTTTTCTGTTAATTTAAAAGTTCTCAATTTGGATAACCATTCTATTTATGAAGGGATGATGATATTGCATAAATATATTTGAGCAGTAAGATTATTCTAGCCTTTCTTAAATTTCTTTATACAGGGCTTCCTTCACTTACAGTTGTCCTTTTTGTTTCCTTTCAAATGTTTTATGATGTCATTTCTTCATTGATAAGCATTTTAATTGCTAGAGTTTCAGTGACCTTCAAGTTTTCAGGATGAATGCAGAATAGATTCTGTTGATCTGAGGCTCTTTTATGCTTGTTTATAGAAGAATGGAGTATTAATTGAAACAAAGAGAATATGCATCGAAGAGGGTACAAAAACATTATCCTGAAAAGAGAAAAGGAAATAGCTGAGTATCAAGCCAAAATGAAAATGTCTTTAAAAACCAAAAAGCTTTCCAATCCCTCTGCTTATATTGTATGCATGAGAAGCCAAAACCAAAATCATATACCGTATCAAAAGTAAGGGTATGGAGACCTTTGAAAATATGGCATTCGTTTCTGACCAGATGCGCTGAAGAACTGCATAAACTTCTATGGCCATTTAATTGATCATAGCCTCCTTTTTCCTTGCAAAACCTTTCAAATGTATCACGAGAAATTACACCTGGGTTCCTGCCTTACAATTGTGCCATTAGATGCGTGCTCATTAGGAAGCACTGTGTGAAGTCTAAAAATCTTGGAAGTGGAGCATGTCTTTGGAAAGAAAGCACTAAAATTACCAAGCGAAGGACTTAACCGTAGGGTGTTTTAGATTTACGATTGGGTCTATCAAGGAGAAGCTACTGGTTACTAGGATAGTAGATTAAAAATTGAAGGGGAAATAATTATAAAACACCAGAAAAATATATAGGCCAGAGTGTTGTCTATTAATTAACAGTGAGATTACTAGAATCAAATAGTCAAAAGATTTTGCGATGTATACGATGTCAACTCAGAAATCCCTCTACACTTTTCGTAAAATTTTTATGCCACATATAAACATAGATCCTATGAGATATGTTGTGACTCCTTAGTGTAAGCTTTTTATCTTGGCATGCCTAAAGGTTATGTATTAATATAATGAAATATTTATTGATTTTTATGTGGAACTGTGAAAAGTTTAAAGATGTTTGGGAGGTTGAACTTTTGTTAAGTATTGAAAAACAAAATTTCAATGGTTATTGTTTCATGTTATATCTACTTGTTATTGATCTCCTTCTTGCTTTGAGTAAGTCTATATTGCTTCACTTGCATTGACAGCGAAAGAGATGGGGAGGATGTTGGGGTGCATTTTCTTGTTTTGGTTCACAGAAAGGTGGGAAGCGCATTGTACCTGCATCTCGCATACCTGAGAGTAGCGGGCCAGCCTCTCAGCCAAACGGACCTCAAGTGGTTGGGTTGACCAATCAAGTCACAGGACTAGCTCCTTCTCTCTTAGCCCCACCTTCTTCGCCAGCATCCTTCACACATTCTGCCCTTCCTTCCACTGCTCAATCACCTAGTTGTTTCTTATCCTTATCTGCTAACTCACCTGGTGGTCCTTCATCTACTATGTATGCCACTGGACCATATGCTCATGAAACACAACTGGTGTCTCCTCCAGTCTTCTCAAATTTCACTACTGAGCCATCTACTGCTCCTCTCACTCCTCCACCTGAGTTGGCTCATTTAACAACTCCCTCTTCCCCAGATGTACCTTTTGCTCATTTTCTCTCATCTTCAGTGGATCTCAAAAACAGTGACAAGGGTAACTACATCACTGCAAATGATCTTCAAGCTACATATTCACTCTATCCTGGAAGTCCTGCCAGTAGCCTTATATCTCCAATATCAAGAAACTCAGGTGACTGTTTATCATCCTCTTTTCCTGAACGGGAGTTCCGTCCACAGTGGGATTCATCACTATCTCCTGAGAATGGAAAATATCAGAGAACAGGGTCTGGAAGGGTGTCTGGGCATGACCCTAATAGTGTCACTATGGCATCCCAAGATACAAATTTCTTTTGCCCTGCTACCTATGCACAGTTCTATTTAGACCAAAATCCTCCATTTCCTCATAATGGTGGGAGATTAAGTGTTTCAAAAGATTCAGATGTTCAATCTACTGGTGGAAATGGACATCAGAGTAGACATGCTAGAAGTCCTAAGCAAGATGTGGAAGAAATAGAAGCTTACCGGGCATCCTTCGGTTTTAGTGCAGATGAGATTATAACTACCACTCAATATGTGGAAATTTCTGATGTAATGGAGGACTCATTTACTATGATGCCCTTTACTTCTGGCAAGTCAACTATGGAAGAAAACATAGAGCCTTCATTAATGAAAGGATTCAAAGCTCCGGAGACACAGGTAGCATTTCAGAGTCTTAGAAGTCTTGGCTCAGATCCAAGTCCAGTTGGCAAGGAAGCACACAATCAGGCCCCTCTCTGTCAAGGATATGAAGGTATGCTGTAAACTCTTGGTTTAAATATTGATTTGTTTCCTTTCATCGTGAGAAGTAATGGAAATAAAAAATAACACAGAGTAGCTCACTTTTTAATTAATTGCAATATGGTTTCAATATTATATATAATATAATTTCTATAAGTAGAGCCTTGGAGCTGTGCTTGTGCTGTGTCGTACTACTTTTGATGGATAAAGGTTACAATTTTTTTTAATGTTCGGTAAGGCATTGGTCATCTTTGTATGTTATCTAGAAAAGATGGAGGGTAAGGTTAGAGTGGTTTCATGGATTTTATGGGATTTCCTGCTTTCTCTTTTTCATACCCTTTCTTTATCTACCTGTGAGCAAGTATGCCTTTTCTTGCATGTCAGACCATAAATCACAAAGGCATTGTAACAACAGCTCTGGACTCAGCACACCGGAGAACCCTACTCTCGTAGATGACGAGGATATATTCTCAAAAATGGAATCTTCCAGAATTAGCAGGAAATATAAGATGGGGTTATCGTGCTCCGATGCTGAGATTGATTACAGGAGAGGAAGAAGCTTACGAGAAGGAAGGGGAATGTGATTTGGCAGGACCAAGAATTAATCAGTTGAGAACAGATTGTCTGTTATCTGTGTATTAATTTGTAGCTTTGTTTTAAGAAGAAAAAATGAAAAAGAAATTCTTTACTTGGGGTTGTCTAATAGATGGAATGACCTAACTTAGATCTAACCGATTCTGTCCATCGTGTTTGACCAGATCTTACTGATCAATGAATGTAGTCTCTTTCTTCAAGCGAGTTCAGATTAATGTTTGAAGTGAATGAAGTTTGGTTTTAAACAACGGGCAGTGTATCAACCTGCATTTGTTCGCCCTACAAACTTTGCACAAACCTCTACTCTTTTTATAGCACATTGGTGTTGACATGGTAATTACTCATCCTGCAGTATAGGTGTATATTAGAGATGAAATTATGGTTAAACATATATTTTAGTTCCTGTAGCTGGAATGAATTCTTAATTTGATCTTTTCATATGAAATTGATCTTTATGTGTAAAATGTTACATGTTACTTGTTTGATATGTGTCATTGTTTTCATGTTACTTGTTCTTATTTTAGTTTTTTATATACGTAGCATATTTTTTATTTATCCGTATATTTATAGTGTGCTTTTAATTTGATATTCTAAATGTAAAATATGAGGACTAATTTAAGATGTATTACAGGACACAATTTAAAAGATGCTAGTAATAAAAACGATCAAATGAAAATGTCACATATATAAGGATTAAATTAAAAATATGCAAAGGATAATAATATAAATATAATATATATATATATATATATATATATATATATATATATATATATAATGTTTTTCGTCTTTGCAAAATTATTTGTAGTCTTTGTTTTAAAGTTTGGATATATTTGGTCCCTACATTTATATAAAACATTGAATATGGTTTTATTACCTAACGATAATAACTATTCACTTATATAAGAAACGAAATTTCAATGTGGATGATATTTGCAGATAATACTTATCATTTTATTTGAGAAGGCCATTCATACTTATCATTTTATTTGATATGTCGTTTTGTTTTTGGCAAATTGAGTTTTACATTGTGAATATTTGAAATAGTTTTAAATATTGTTATTAAAGAAATTTTTCAAACAAGGTTAATAACGAAGGAATTCATTCGCGTGAAACTACTGATTATTTTGTATATTTGATTGCTGTAGACTTGTGATATTGTAGTGTGCATGAAATTGTTTGTTTGTAGTAGACACGTATGATATCATTTCTTTTGTCGAGTTCATTGTCATCGAAAGATATGTTTTTTTTTTTTTTTTTTTTTGCAATTGTTATTGGGATTTTTACTCGGGAAGTCATTATTAGTATGTAAGAAATGTATATTGGATTTGTTCATTGTAATAAATTTAAGGTTTGTTCATGTGTGTTGAGTTTGTTTATTATTGAATGTTTAATTATATCTATATGAGTCAAATATTTGATTATAAGAAATGACTTTCTTTGATATGTTTTATTACATGGAGACGTTTATAACTTCCCTGAACTGCATTATAAGAAATGGGAGGAACATGTTTATGGTGTGAATCCTAATAGATGATCATATTTTGAATCACGAAATATAATTAGGAAATTCAAGAATGATGGTGAAAACCTAAAAAAAGATGAATGAACAAACATTTGAAACAATTATGTCTAAAGATGTTATAGAATTAACTAATTATGCCTTACATATTAGGGATGAAGTAGAATTGTATATACAAGTTAATCAAGATGAGAATATACAAGATGAGAAAATTGAGTTTCTTGAACTAATACCTAAGGATGAAATGGAAGGTGCTGATATTAATAGTGGAAAGAATGTTCATATTAGTAAGATTGAAGAGGGTGGTAAAATTGGAAATAAAGGTGCTAAAAGTGGAAACAAGGAAAAAAGAAATTCTAAAATAACAAAAATCATGAGTAAGATAAATAGGAGTAGATTTTATCTCACGACTGACACAAGAAACCATAATTACTCAAGCAATATTGGAAATGTAGATATCCTCAATCCAAGTCAAACACACTTATAGAGAGGAGGGGGAGAATAATCAAATCTCATTGTAACGTAATTTTAGGGTCCTAAATATGGATGACAAAATTAAGATTAGGGTTGATGGATCGACCTATTATGTTACCTCAAATTGAAGAGGTTGCTAACTTGTTTTGGTTCACTTTGTCTAGTTAGCCAATTTGGTGGGCCAAAGACGAGGTAGGCAGACCAATTATCATTTAAAAAATAATTTCACATTAGAATTAAAATAAAAAATATTATAATTTAAAAGATTATATTTTTTTATTATATCATTAAAATATATAAATATACTATACTATTATAATTTAAATCATAATTACTAACAAATTAAACTAAATTATTAATTATAATTAAGTATTTTAGCTAATAAATATAATGATTTTTTCAATTTATTGAATAAAAAATAATTAATGAATAAAAACTTAAAAAAATATTTATATAATTAAGGGTATATATATATATATATATATATATATATATATATATATATATATATATATATATATATATATATACTAGTTGAATGAGTTAAGGTATGTAACCTATGTCGACTATATTAAATCAACATGTCATGTCCTTTTTTATCAACTAATTAAGGGTTTAGGGTTTTGTCAACCAACATCAATTGAGAAGAAAAATGAAAAAGTTTGGAAGTTGTTATGTTTTAATAGAAATATAGGTAAGTGTTATCACTTTTGAACTATTTACTTTTACCGTTACCTACTTTAATGTTTTTATTTAGTTAAGAAGAAGAACCAACATTGATGACCTAGGTCATGATTTTTGAAAAGGGGATATTGCTTCAAAAGGAGAAAAATACCAAAACAAATAAAACACTCAGAAAAGATGACTACCAAAAATATGAAAAAGGAGATGAAGTGTTTTTTTATAGGGTTCTTAAAATTTTAATTTCAATTTTAATTTTAAATAAATATTCATTTCTACCTTATTTATTTATTTTTATATATATATATATATATATATATATATATATATATAATATTAACTTACTTTTAATAAATAGATGACTAGTTAATGTTATTAGATAATCAAAATCATATTCAATATAAACATCAAATGTATCCAAACATTAACACAGGAATGAAAAATAATTTCGTAAAATAATTCAGGGACTAAATACATATTTAAGCATATATATATATATATATATATATATATATATATATATATATATATATATATATATATATATATACATATATATAAAAGATTTATACATAAAATCAAATAAGAATTTATTAAACCAAACTAAATTATGTTTTAATTTAAAATTTTATTGAAAAGTATACAATTATTATTACTAATAATATTTTTTCTAAATATTTTACCATCAGTTTTTTTAAATTTTAGTTATAGTAAATATCAAAAGTTCTTAAAGTTAGTTGTAATTTCATTATAATGTCGTAACCACAAAAAAATGGATGAAAAGTTCTACATATCACCATCTCACCATTTATTTATATTTAGGTCCATTTTCTGTACAGAAGAGAGAAATAAAGTAAAAAAAAAAAAAAGAGTTTATTGGATTTAATGGAAGAGAAGCAAAGAAGAAACATGGGCGAGATAAATACAAAATAACTAAAAAATAATACAACAATTTTTACCACTTTTGAAATAATTTATCCTCTTCCAAATACTTTCAAGTATTTTTCATCTCCTCTTTTCTTTCCAATTCTCCTATCGAACACATCATTAGACTATTTTGAGATTATGAAAGTTTTCTATCCAATTTTTCTTAATTGTTATAAAAAGGCACCATTCAATAGATTTAGATATTTTCTTTTGCACATTAATGTGTGAACTTTTCTAAGTTTTTTCATATGATTTTTTTCACTAAACTTTATATATATTTTTTCATATCAGTCCATATGGTACACCTCATCTAAAGCCACCTCCATTAATAATAAGAATGCATATAATTTCTTTTCACCTGTAATCCATTAAAAATTACTCAAAATTTAAGGTTCATTTGATTTGTTAAAATGAATGATTCTGGACAACATATGAACAATACAGAATAAACATCAAAATTACAGGACAACTTTGTATTATTTAGTTAAGAACAGACAACACGAAGAGAAATATTATAATACCCTTTTCAATTAATAAGTTTTATATTAAAATTATATACCACAAAGTAATATAACATAATATTATATAACTTATTGTTGTGTGAACAACAGACCAACGTAATATTTTAAATTTTATTGCAATACCCCTTTCAAAATTTCCCTTAATAAATTTAATATCAAATTTATATGTCATAAAATATTATTACAAAATTACATTAATTACCAGTGTTTATATGCTAAAAACAACACCAATAAACTTTTGACACTCCTTTATTGTGGATAAGTTACACTATTTCTTGGTCATTAAAAAATAATGCAAATAGAGAATAATGGAGGATGAATACTTCTTTCATTTTAAAATGTTACATACTAAAACTTTTTCTCACATTTTATCCATAACTTTTCTCCCAAAAAAAAACATGTTCTATCCATAACTGATTAAGTGATGAGATTCCATGATATTTTGAGGTGAAAAAACAAAACAAAAAAACAAAATAATCGAAAGGCATTACTATTGTTATATAATAGCTAACCATCTTCTTTTCTCACTATTTATTTAGTGGCATCTTGGTCAACAGGCGAATACCCAGATTATTATCTCAATGGAATGTTTTGTTTTAGGAAAGGTGTCATCTGCAGATTCGTGTACAAAGACTGCAAGAGTGGTTAGTAGATCAATATTACTTCGATAACACTTTTTCAACATTATTTTATAGAATGATGTAAGAAAAAATTTCAATAATTACAAGTATTTGTCCAAAACTAAACAGTAACAAGCAAAAAAGTTAAAATTGGATTCTTTTGTACACAGATTTCACTATCGAATGCAAGTAGTACAAGGCTGATGGCTATACCATTCTGACCAGAATTGCCTAAGCAAATAGCAGGAAAGAGAATCCAAGTGGATGTAAATTCCTGTTCGACATTATTTGATTACTTTCATCATGTTGAGGGAGCTCAGTAAGTTGTTGTGGAAAGGATCGGAGATGTGATCAATAAGGTTCTGAACAGGACCTTTACCCGTCAGTGCAGCTTGCACGTAAAAGCCTAACCAGGCAATCATTGCCAAGCGTCCATTTTTAATTTCTTTTACCTTCAGCTCTTCAAAAGCTTCAGGATCGTTGGACAGATTCAAGGGATCAAACAAAGCTCCTCCAGGATAATTTATATCACCAGGCAGATAAATTCCTAGAGGCTCCAATGCCTCAGTCCCACAATATCTAGCATATTCCGGTCCAACCTGTTTAAGAATGTCTAATTATTATTAATGCCATCCATTTCCAATTATTTGAAACATCTGATTTGAATGGGATAGGAATTTCACTTTTACATGTTTATAGTGGCAAATGACAGATCTTCTTGGGAGCTGAGAAGAGCCGTGACCCCTCCAAAATTTTGTAACTCTCATGTAATTTATGATTTTGACCCTCCCAAATTTAATGAACATTTAATATATATACTTGTTTATTTACAATTTTATCCTCTCAACCCCTCTTCAATTTTGTAACTCTCATATAATTTATGATTTTATCCCCCATAAACTTAATGATTATTTAATATATTTAAATATATATCTACAATTTTATCCTTTCACCCTTTTATCTTCTTTCTTTCTTTTATATTTATTTATTATTTATTAATAATATATTATTTGACCCTCTCAAAATAAATGGTCAAGATCACTTTGACAAGTAAAAAACAAAAATTATGATAGTTGTGTAACTTTGAATTTGAATTATATAAAAAAAAGAAAAAAAGAAAGAAAGAAGTTTTAAGACAATAACAACGGTTCAGCTTATATTTAATGCACATCACTTGTTTGTTAAAATTCCTATGTTTCAACTATCTTCTCTAATTTTTGTTTTCTTAAACATTTATGCTTGTCTTGCTTGTTTGTTGGTAATGGACTTGTTCTTCACTACTTCTCTTTTGTTGATGCTAAAATTGTGTTTTAAGTCTTGTCATTGATAACCTTAAAGATGAATATTGATTATAGATTCTTTTATTCTTGTAAGAATCTTAAGTGGAGAATAAGTGGTAAAAGACAATGTGATCATTTAAAAAAAGCCCTATTATGTGAAGGAGTATTGTGAGGCCAAAACTTATTGTTATTTCTAATCTATTTGCTTAAGCATGTTAGGGAAAACACCATGTACTGAAATATCACAAATGCATATACAAGCCTAAACTTAATATTTGGAGAGACTAATGAAATAACAAAGTGATGAACTCCGTGAGAGGTTGGATCAAATGGAGTGACACAACAAGAAAATCATGAAAATTGAGGGAGGGATAGGGGGAGAAGAAGGGAATGAAGAAAAACAAAGTCAATCTAGACTTGATGCTCGTAGGTTAAATATTTTCACATTCAAAAGAAGGAGTGATGCAGAAGCTTACTTGGAATAGGATTTAAAATTAGAATATGTATTTGTTTGCAATGAGTATAATGAGGAACAAAAGATGAAATCTCTGATTGCTTAATTTTCAAATTATACCGTAATTTGGTGGAATAAATACACCAAAGGGAGAGGGCTAGAAATGAAGAACCATGGTGGACTCTTGGGCTAAAATGAAAAGGATTATGAAAAAGAGATATTTCAACAAGTTATAATAGGGATTTGCAACTCAAACTTCAAATTCAAGGGCATAGAAGTGTGGAGGAATATGTGACCATGATTAAAGCCAAATTGAAAGAAAATGAAGCAACCATGACTAGGTTTTTTAGTGGATTTAACCATAATATGGAAGATGTTGTGGAACTGCAAAAGTATGTTGAAATGGAGGGTTTGTTACACAAAGCTATCTTAGTAGAATAACAACTCAAGAGGAAAAGAGCCATGAGAAGGAATTCTAACAATAATAATTTTAATTGGAGAGATAAGATCGTAAGGGATAAAGGAGTTTCCACAAGTTCATGGAAAGTCACCTAATGGATGTAATAATTCATCACTTAAAAGAAAGATGAGTTAAAATGTTTCAAATGCTTGGGAAGAGGACACTGTGTTTCAGAACACCCAACAAAAAGGAACATGGTCATGTTAAATAGTGAAGAAGAAAAGGAAGAAGCATAGGTAGACTTGGGTATTGGAGGGTGATTTGATAATGAGTAAGAGGCTTATGGGAAATCAAATGTAAGCTTTGGACCAAACCCAAAGAGAAAATATTTTCCATACTAGATTTTCTATTCAAGGAAAAATATGTTCACTCATAATTGATAGAGGAAGTTGCATCAGTGTAGCTAGCTCAAGACTAGTTACCAACTTGAATTTGGAGACAAAATCTACCCTAGGTCATACAAACTTCAATGACTTAGGGAAGATGGAGAGATTATAGGGAGCAAGCAAGTGTAGGTGAACCTATCCATAGGACAATATAATGACAAGGTCTTGTGCGATGTGTTTCTAATGAAGATAACTCACATTCTTTTCAGGAGGCTATGTCAATATGACACCAAAGCCATCCATGATGTTTCCACAAAAAAAAAAAAAATCTCTTTCATGCACAATAACAAGATAATTCTCAATCCATTATCTCCTAGAGAGATGTGTGAGGAACAAATAAATAAAGAGAAAAGAGAGAAGTGTGAACTCATAAAGAGAGTGAAACACATAAGAGAAAAATAAGTGGATTAGTTAAAGTGAGTGAAGTAAAAAAAGTGTTACTTACTAACAAACTTCTTTATTTACTTTATTGCAAAAACAACCCTTTGATTGTTGAACACTCTAGTCAAATTATTTACCTTAGAGTGTTGATTCACTTTTATAAGATTTAAAGTATGTGTTTCCAAATGAAGTACCTCGCAGATTACTTCTTCTAAAGAAAATTAAGCACCATATTGACCTCATTTTGGGAACATATTTGCAAAATAGGCTAGCCTATAAAAGAAATCGTCAAGAGACCAAGGAAATCCTAACTTAAAGTTAAAAAACTGATGAACAAAGGATGGGTAGGTACAAGAGAGCATGAACCCATGTTTTGATCCAATCATTTTGGTACTTGAAAAGGATGGTTGTTGGAGGATGTGCACAAATTGTAAAGCACTAAATAACATCACCATCAAGTATAGACATCATATTCCCACATTAGGTTATTTATTGGATGAATTGCATGATGCTTGTATATTTTCAAAAATTGATTTAAGAAGTGGGTACTGTCAAATTAGGATTGGGGAGGAGATGAATAAAAAAAATATCATTAAAATAAAATATGGATTGAATGAATGGCTTGTGATATCATTTGAGCTAATTAAAGCCCCAAACACTTTTGAGATTAATGAACTTTGAGAGAATTTTTGGGAAAATTTGTTGTATATTTTGATAACATCTTGATCTATGGCACTAGTCTAGAAGTGCATGTTAAACATTTGTGTGTTGTTTTGGATGTGCTTAAAAAGGAAAAGTTGAATGCTAATCTTGCATTACCAAACTTAGCAAAATCTTTGTGATTGAATGTGATTCCTCTAATATGGGTATTGGGATTGTTTTAATGTAAGAAGGTATCCAATTGCTTATTTTAGTGAGAAGTTAAATGGGGCTACCCTAAACTTTCCCACGTATTATAAGGAATTATATGTCTTTGTGAGAGCTTTACAAACTTGGCAATTGTCTTTTGCCAATGAAATTTGTAATTCATAGTGATCATGAATATTTAAAATACTTAAAAACACCAAGAAAAATTAAATTAGACACATGCTAAATGGTTTGAGTTTTTAGAAGAGTTTCCATATGTCATAAAGCATAAAAAAGGAAAAGGGAATATTGTGATTGATGTTTTATCTAGAAGACATGTGTTGATTTCCTTGTAGTGTGATGTGCAAAAATTTTGTGAAATTTGCATCGCTTGTAAAAATGACAAATCAAATCTACTAATTGTAATCCCCAAACAAGCTTACAATAGGGTTGTGTATAGCAAACTAAGGCAACGGAGCTCTACTTGTGATATAGGGATTTTCTTTTTCTTTTATTTAATTGCCAACAAAGCAAAATTCTAAGATTAAATCTATATTTTAAGATTTTGGAATTCAAAACAAGGATATACGAATTATTTTAACGACAATGAGAATTATTTTTGTAAAGATTCTTCCTTACATCTTTTGATCTTATTACGAGTTCACTAATTCTGGTGATAATCATTTTTAGGCTTATCAAACTTCTTTGGGACACCTTTCATTTCCAAGTTTCTTTATTGTGTTTTAAATTTACCAATTGTAATTTATTCTAATCTTTAACCCTTAAAATTCCATGTGTTCAATTCAATTTTCTTTAGATTCGTATCAAATGTACATAGAGTATGCAGCGGTAGAGAGAAAATCTATAGAAGACTTTGCCCAATCAACATCAAAGTACTTAGAAATTTGGGTTCCTCCTTTATTGTAAAACAATCCTTGTGAGGTAAACGAGTTTCCTGACTAGTCTTTTAAATCTCTTTGGATTTAAGTAAGGTTCAACTTCATTTGTCTTTAACTTTTGATTATATCAATATTAATGGGTCTACAACAAGAAGGTATGCATGTTTCCTCCGCAATCTCCAAAGCATACTTTCTTTGTTGAATAAATAATGACCTCCTTTGGTTAAGCCATGTCGATACCAAAAAGGTACAACCAAGATATTTAGTTTGGAAGTGATTGAATAAATGTTTTTTCTACGGGAAAGGACAAGTGTGATAATAAAAGACTAAATTATATACTTCACTTCATTTCAACTTGAAACTCAGTATAATATGACTGAATTTCCCAAACCAAACTCATTTAGACTAATTGAGTCCATATAGAGATCATGATGTTTACAAACTAGGTATTAGCAACAAACCAAGGAAGTTGGCAAATAGGAGACAAATATCACAAGAAACAATTTTTTTGTAAGCACAAGAAATAAATGTTAACAAAACTTACAAAGGTAGATAAGGGATACAAGCATTACCATAAGAAGTGCTTGGCAAACAGCAATCACGACCACTCCTTGACTTCCAGCAAAGTGAAGACCTTCGATGCCAAGGTAATCCAAAGTATCTCCCTATTGAAAATTAAAATATTTAGAAGCCAGGAAGTGTCAATTACATTTATTACAATTATCTTTACAAGTTTAAATTGTTTAATCAATGCATAGTAATGGTCATATATGAGAACCTGGAATGATTCTACTACTACCACCACCATCATTATCAATACCAAAACAAAGGAGAAAAACAACCTAATTAAAACATGATACATCTTGAAGAATTTGACGAAATCAAGCTATGCATGCAAGCTATGAAAGATCTCATTACTTTGTGTGTCTAAAGTTTTTCTTGTAAGCAAAATTTCTTTCTTGATTTATCATCCATCAAGCAATGCCTCATTGTCAAAACAATTTTTTTAAAAAAGTTTTAATCGATTAAAAATTCCTTTAATCTATTAAAATGTTCTTAGTTCACTTTTTTAATCGATAAAATGTCATTTTAATCATTAAATTCATTAAAACTCAAGACCTACACATGACTCGAAGTTTTAATCAATTAAGTCATGTTTTTATTAATTAAAAAGTTCTTGATAAGTTTTGATGAATGAGTTTCGAAAATTTCATATGTTAAAACTGGATTACGTCAGTTAAAATGTTCTTATGAAAATTCGTAAGTTGCTTTCATTGATTACAGTGAGCTTTTATATGTTAAAATGAATTAATAGAGCTTACATTTTTCTAGATGTTTTTTAATCGATAAACTATGATTTTATCGATTAAAACAACTCACTGGACTTAGTGAGATTTTTTGAGTTATGTTTTAATTGATTAAAAATACGAAATGATCGATTAATTAGAATTTTAGTAAAATTAATCAATTAAATCTGTGTTTCAATCGATTAGAGCTTAGAGCTTACATTTTTAGATGTTTTTTAATCATAAACTATGATTTTATCGATTAAAATAACTCACTGTAGTGAGATTTTTTGAGTTATGTTTTAATGGATTAAAAATACGAAATGATTGATTAATTATAATTTTAGTAAAATTAATCAATTAAACCTGTGTTTCAATCTATTAGAGCTTAGAGCTTACATTTTTAGATGTTTTTTAATCGATAAACTATGATTTTATCGATTAAAATAACTCCCTGGACTTAGTGAGATTTTTTGAGTTATGTTTTAATAGATTAAAAATACAAAATGATCGATTAATTAGAATTTTAGTAAAATTAATCAATTAAACCTGTGTTTCGATTGATTAAAACAATCTGTAAAGTCTATGTAACTGATTTCTCTCTTCCATTTTATAAACATACAATTTGTACAGTTAATTGAACAATCTTTGAGAGAGTTTTTAAGAGAAAAACTCATGCAAGATTTCAACATACAAAATATGCCAAAAAGCTACAATCAACATTTTTTAACTTCAAAGAAATTTTTGAATTTGGGAATATTCATTTTCCATTTATCCATGTCGAAGGACTTGACCTACAAGAAATTGTTTTATTGATATCAATCACAAACTATATTCTCAGCACCTCAATTCATAATAATCAATCCCTCTAAAAGTACGTTGAAATAATTAAAAAGATTTTAAAGATATTATAAAAAGATTCTAAAAATATTTTCTCTTAATCAATAAGGAGATCTTAATGGAAAACAAATTGTTTATCAACATTTTTAATTAATTAATCAATAGATTCAAGGAGTGGATATTGGAGAATAATTGTATATTTCATAGCAAAAACTTCTAAATGATAAAACCCAACAAATTGATAAGCAAGACTGTACAAAAGTTGGTTGAAGAGACACGACATCCTAACCTTGAGCTTCGAATAACCAACACGCCACCACACAGGTTCTACAAAGTGAAAGACTCCCAATAGGTCTAATATTTCCGGAATCAAAGCACCGACAGATGCAAGCATAGCCCACCGAGCATGCAATATCTCAAAACTTGTTGATAGAAGAGGTTAAAATGATTATATATAAAGTTTCACACAATGTATAAATAAGGTTAATAAATGTTTTTATTTTATATAATATGTTTGTCTGTCAAAATTTTGAAAATAGTCACTTCTGATATTGATGAACTATTTAGCAGAAACAAGAATTTTTTGTCCAAAGTATATCACCTGACATTATATATTGTCTATAGTAGTAGAATGTACATAAGTAAATAAATAAATAAATAAAAAACATTTTATCATATGAAAAATTACCGTACATGACAAGCAAGCAGCAATAACACATGCATAGGCTTCCATTAAAAAATTCAAAATATGACATACTTGAAGTATTTCTGCAGTACCACAGGATCCTTGCCTAGCATGGCAATGTCAAAGCCATAATCCCCGGGTAGGTCCCCAGCAAGATAAGATGGGTATTCATATGATATGGGACCAAGCCAACGAGGTCGATCTTCTCCATACCAAAAGCTGAAAATTAGTGAATGTTTACTGAAATTAGGGCAAAATTTGGACACACAAGCAACAGTGAGAATAATAATAAAGTAATGAAATGAAAATTTGACACTCCCTTTGTCACTTGCTTATTCTCTAGTACAATTCTCTATTAACGGAGCCAAAGATGAATTAAATTAGTGCTCAAGATATTCAAGAGATCCTGGAACAAACCTTTCCCAAGTGATAAGATCCCCCTCTATCAACCCCTTATTTATAGGCAACATACCTTCTTCAAACTATCTCACATAACTAACTCACTAATATAAGATACAACTAAAAATGGGTAACTGATTAGCCTATTGTAATTAACTACTCTGTGAGTGCTACCAATCTCTTCTAATGCTCTGTTGTCTTCTATGTTTTTAACCCTATAACAGAGCATCAATGCCTTTGCACGTATAATGAGAACGCAAGGCTGCATTGAGAATTGAACTACTGCAAATGGCAAAAAGATGATCATCAAAGTCCTTTACTACCTTTTACTACGTCTTACCTCCATTGTTAGGAAAGAAGCACCTTCAATGGTTGGGGCATGGTCCGTGTGCTCAAAAGTATTGTGCAATTATATGATGCACAGCAAAGGAATATACATATATATTAGTATCAAGGGCCAATATATTTAGCTACTTCTAACACTCCCCTCAAACTAGTGTATATAAATATATACCAAGCTTGTTATAAATATAATCAATTCTAGGAATCCACAAGGTGAAGATATTTGCCAACTAATCATTAGAATTAACAAACTAAGTTGCAATATCTCCAAATATAGATGAAGTCATAATCTATCTCAATATATTTGATACTTTTGTGAAATGCTAGATTTCAAAGGCAACTTTGTTGTCACATATGAGAGTCCTTTGTGTGACATCTCCAAATCTCAATTTTTTAAGTAACTTTTTGAGTCAAATATGCTCACACGTGGTAAAGGTCACAATTTTATACTTTATTTTAACACTAGATCTTACCGTTACATTTTACTTTTTACTTTTGCAAAAAATCGGATTGTCACTCATGAAGACAAAATATTCAAAGGTGGATCTCCTGATAGAACGAAAGCCCTATATTCTTGCAATGAGCCTTCTTGCTTCTGATCAACAACCTATCATAAGGATTTAGGATTATGGATAACAAAAAAATGCCTAATTACAATGTTGCTAAACATCATCCAAGTCGGGTTTGGAACTCAAGAATCTCACCACTGAAACCACAACAGAGGATGTCTTTCCATTGCCGTTGTAATCATTTGTTGTATCCTCTCCCTATTTCAAGCCCTTTCAACTGAAAATACTTCTTAACATGGTTAACATAGTCATCAGCATCAATGCGAATGAACAAAGGAATTTCTAGCTTCCTCCAATTGTCTTCTCTTGAGTGAGATCTCTTATCTGTCTCTGTCCCATCTCTGTGTCCTCAATTTTTATACTTGTCTAATGCACTCCTCCCAACTGTAGTTTTGTCAAATATTGAGTCAGATTTTCAAGAATGTCTCCAGTCTTTCTCATTCTCGCTTCTTGCATCACACTACAAAATTGTTGGAACTACCACTCCCTTTCTACTATTCTCGTGTCTTCTCTCTTTGAGGTTCACAATCTTCTATCCATGAAATCTAATCTCGCCTCATTCCTTTGCTTAAATATCTACTGCTCCCTCTGGATCAAGACAGCTCTATACCTGTTGATATAACTGGATCAGGATAAAGCTCCCTTTGGGCTTGATTGATTTACTTCTCACTTTTTTGTTTTTAAATTTTTCTTCCAATATATTTCAATGTTATTCATCAATCGGTTTCTCATTCCAAATCTATTAAGTTTTGAAACTTGTTTCTAAAACAAGTGTTTTAAAAACCAAAAAACACCACCAAGAGAGTTTGGATCAATTGGTGGGGTAGGGATAGTTTTAAATTAACCAATAGTTTCAAATTCGAGTCCTGAGTACGCAGTCCTTGCAAATACTCTATAAAGTTTAGCCACCCATAATGATCTCACCCAACTTCAGTAGAGTGTCTCTAATAAAGGAAACTTGCGTTCGATACCAAAGAAAAAAGAAACAGCTAATGTGTGTCGTTGTCTACAATTAAAAAATAAAATTATGAATAAAATATATAATTGTATCACATATATAGTTATTTAAAACCTGTCAAAATGACTTATACAAGCAACTATGACTGGTATAAATAATTCTGTACATGGACTTATATTTTCCTAAGAAAGTTCTAAACAACGGAGATGCTCGGAGTAACTTAATTTTTTATTCATTTTTACTTCTCTTTTTACTAATTACTAAACTAACTACTACCGGGGATTCCTAATGTATTGTTGCTGGAATCATAGAATACCCTGAACAAAAGAAAACGCCAACATAACTAGAAAACTATGGAAGATTAAATTATTAAAAAAAAAAATTGATTTGGTTTTGGTTTATCTCATATTTGGAATTGATAGCACTAATTAGTAGTCATCACAACTCACCTTCAAAAGAAAAGACCCTTGGCATAAAAAATTTATGGTGAGTTGTCGTGATAGTTGAAACGCACACGATGAATACAGTTGCTTACCGGGGATTACCTCTCCTTTCGGGCCTTGTTGGCTAAGGCCTTGAATTTAGACGAGTTTTCCACAGCAAATTTTTTTCTCTCCTCCATTTTCCTACGGAGCGACTTGCCTAGCGGACTATTAGCTATGGCTTTCACGGCAGTGAATGGAACCGCTGAGAAAAGTAAAACTCCGACGAGCTTCAACGGAACATTTTCTCAAATAAATTGTCGGAAGAAAGAATGAAAGCAGTGACACTGGGAAATAGAAAGTACAAACTGGAGTAGTACGGACCTCTTGCCACGAAGCATTGCAGGAGAGAGAAGGTTGCTGCTCAGTTATGAAGCTGTTCCTTCGTTTCGGGGCAAAACTTACGGAGCGGTAGCAGGTAGACCAAAGGGAGGATCTGAAAAAATGGGAGGAAGAAGAGGAAAGTGACGTAGGACACACTAGTGGATGAAGCGAAACCATCACCCCTCTCCGCTAATTCTCACCTCAGATGCCCCTTCAGCTTATTATCATCTCTCATGTTTAGAACAATACTGCAATTAACATTAATAACCCTGGACTTTTACAAAATTACATTTATACCTTCTTTCAAAGAGTGTACGTGCACATGAATATTGTTTCCTTCGATTATGAAATCAAAAGTTGGAAAAAAAAAAGAAAGATTAAGGCACATAAAAAGAAAGTTTAGTGTTTCCCTTCAGCTTAAGCTTAGTTAGTCCATTAAACATCATTTTTGAAACATGACTTCAAAATCAAACACAATCATATCGAATTACGTAGCACCAAGTGGCGGATCTTGACCAGTAAGTCTAGGGCTAATTATAAAAAAAATTATATAATAATAAATAAAAATAAGATATTTATTTAAAATTGTGCCCTTCGTTCTTTTAAATGTTTGAACTCATTAATAATGGAATCAGAACTAAAGTTTTCAGTTATTTCTTTCTCAATATAAATGATCATATTATCTGCAAGAATTTCATCTTCCAGTCTATTTCGCAGTCTTGTTTTGATAATTTTCATTGCAGAAAATGATCTCTCAGTTGTAGCTGTAGAAACAGGAAGAGTTAAAATAAGATGAATTAAACGATCTATTAAGTAAAATGTACCTGACTTACCTTTTTGTCAAAGATTGACATAATTCAAGCATGGTAGACAAATTCTTCAAATCTGGATGGTTAGGAGCATCAAGTATAAAATGACGAAGTTGAAATTTTAAATTAATCTTCTCTTGTTCACTAAAATCCAAAGGATAAAATTTGTTCACAAGTGTACATATATGATCAATGTTAAAATTTTTATAAACATCATTTGGAATTAAAGCATTGCTTAAAGTTAAAAGTTTCATTGTTTTCTCACTAAACCTATCATTTAATTCTTGTAATTGTTTATCCACTGTAATAAAAAATATGTTTACCCTAAAATGATGTTATACTGTAATACAATCTTTTTTATGTCGAGAACGACCATGACATGCTACATAGGTAGAATTAAAATTAGGAATATCAATGTCATGTTGCTCACAAAACAATATTACATCTTTCAACAAATCTTGTCAACCCTCTTCTCTTAATTTTTCAAAATTTTAGTCGAATAGACTAACTGCATAACATTATGTATATCCTGAGATTGTTTCTGTAAAGCTTGACGAAGACAATTAGTAATTCCCATAATTTCTTTCATCATGTGTAAAATCAATACAAACTCAAACTCAGACAAAATATTATAAGCAACATCAGCATCACCCCTTTGAGAATAAGTTGAACCATTAATTATAATTTTTTGGAGAACTAAACAAGATGCACTATACAATTTCATCATACTACAAATGGAATGAAAATGTGAACTCCAACGAGTATCACCAACTCGTTTTAAAGTGCCAATTTGATTTTTTTCTTTACCAGTTTCAAGTTTACCAAGTTCTAACAATTTTGCTATTTCATCTAATTCTGCACTTTGTAATTCATCATGACGTTTACTAGATAAACAAACAACATTTATAATAAAAGCCAAATTTGAAAAAAATTGATGAACTGGAATAACTTCTCTTGAAGCAGTAACCAAAGCAAGTTCTAATCTATGAGCAAAACAATGTACATAATAAGCATAAGGATTATCATGAAGAAATAATGCTTGTAATCCATTCCATTCTCCTCTCATATTACTAGCACCATCATATCCTTGTCCACGAATATTGGAAACATCAAGATTATGTCTAGAGAGAACAACACATAATTCTCTTTTAAGAGTAGCAGCTGTAGTATCCTTAACATGCACAATATCAAAAAAAGTGTTCTTTAATATTACCCATTTTATCTACAAATCTCAAAACAATAGTCATTTGTTCTCTTCTAGATTCATCACGAGCTTCATCAACAATTATACAAAATTTTGAGTCACCAATTTCTTCACGAATATAATTTCTTACTTTTCTAGAAAAAATTTGCAAAATTTCCTTTTGAATATGATGATAAGTATATTTTGAATTATAAGGAGCATTTTCTAACACAACTTGTGCTACTTTATCATTGTATGATGCTAAAAGTTTAATTATCTCAAGAAAGTTACCTCTATTACTTGAATCTGGAGTTTCATCATGGCCTCTAAATGCACAAGTTTGAAATGCTAGCCAACGAATTGTATCAATAGAAGTTTTAAGCCGTAAACGATTTTTACAAACTTCTTCTGAATTTTGCACATTTATAATGTTGTCAATGTGCTTAGATTGATTCAAACAAGGACTATCTCCAATATGACTAAGAAACACACAATTCTTTCCTGAATTAACCTTTTTCCATGATCTAAATCCTTGTCTAATAAACACATTTGCCCCAGGACGACCATTTGACAGTGTACTAAATAGATAACATGGCAAACAATAAGCTCCATCACTAGTTGTAGAATACTCTAACCAAGAAGGAAACATTTTAAACCAACCATATTGAAATCTCCTAGGATGTTTCTCTTTAGAAAAAGGATAGTTTTTAAGTTGTATTTGATATGGACCCTAATTTAAATAAACTCTTCTAATTTCATCTCTTTGATTCATAGGATATTCATGTATCTGAAGACGTTTTCCTGGGTCACGCTCCAAAGAATTAATATTAAATTCATTGGTTTTAATTCTATGAATCTTAGAAAGGGGTTCTTCTAATTGAATAATTGGATCATCAATATCATGCTTTGAAACAGGAGAAGATGTTGAATATGTTTGGTTTTCATCTCTACAAGTATCTCTTTTATCACTTTTAAAAAATGAATCTATGTTTTTATGCTTTATATCTAGAGAAAAATGAATCTATTATTAATTTTCTAATTGTTATCACTTTTAAAAAATAAATCTATTCTTTTATGCTTCATATCTAGAGAAAAATGAATCTATTATTAATTTTCTAATTGTAGAATCATAAAAATTTATAAAAAACAAAAATAGTTTTCTCAAACAACAAATGTTCTTCAACAAAAATCAAAATAACAAACAATAATAGAATAAGCAGTGAAAAGATGAAGAAAAAGTACCTTTATCAATCAATATAATTTCAAGTATGGAATCTGAGAAGGGAGGAAGAGAGACTAACAATGAATTTGAAAGTACAAACTACGTAAATAACTTAATATTAATCAATCAATATTACCGTTTGTGATGAATATGAAAAGGTGAGAGAAGATGAAGAAATAATTTTAACCTTTCTCACTAGTACAGTAAATCACTTTTAACATCGGGCTTTCCACATCGATTCTTTAAGAACCGATGTAGAAAGTGAATTCAAGACTTTCAACATCGATTCCTATATGAACCGATGTAGAAAACACTTTCTACATCGGTTCATCCGGGAACCGATGTAGAAAGTCTTTTTATAAAATTAAGAGAATTGTTACTAGCAGGATTTGAACCCAATACCTTGAAGTCGAAGGTCGATACTCCAACCACTAAGCTACCAAGATTTTCCGATAATAACTTATACATAAATTATATTTATATACAAATAAAAATGTATATCCATGTAAATATATAAATATAAAATATATAAATACAAATACAAATATATTTATATATTTATATGTTGGATGTGAGAGCGCGCTCGAGAGTAAAAGTGTGTGTCAAGTGGGTTTTCAAAATTTGATGTCAAATTTGTGAGCAAGTTTCTTTATATGAATTTGTAATTTAATGATAGAATATAATCTTTATAATTTATTTATAATAATATAGAATATAATCTTTATAATTAATTTATATAATGATATAAAATAAAGAAAAAAATTATTTTATATCATTATATAAATAAATTATGAAGATTATATTTTGTCATTAAGTTATAATCCATATAAAGAGACCCGCTCACAAATTTGACATCAAATTTTAAAAATTCACTCGACACACACTTTCATCCTCGAGCGCGTCCTCACATCCAACATATAAATATATAAATATATTTGTATTTGTATTTATATATTTTATATTTATATATTTACATGGATATACATTTTTATTTGTATATAAATATAATTTATGTATAAGTTATTATCAAAAAATCCTGGTAGCTTAGTGGTTGGAGTATCGACCTCCGACTCTAAGGTACTTGGGTTCGAATCTTGCCGATGACAATTCTCTTAATCTGATAATAATTCAAATTCCTAAAAACTTGCCAGTGACAATTCTCTTAATCTGATAATAATTCAAATTCCTAAAAAATATAAATAATAAAAATATAATATAAAAGGGTTATAAAAGGGAGAGGATATTCTAGGAAACTCTAGATCAATAGATAGGGTAATTAGAGATGTGTTATGAATAAATAAAATAAAAAAAATATTAGACTTTCTACATCGGTTCCTTACAACCGATGTGGAAAGTCACACTTCTACATCGGTTCTAGAACCGATGTTAAAAGCCTATTTTGTACTAGTGTCTTATTTAATATATTCTTTAGAAATTAGAGAAGCAATTAAATACTAATAAAATATTAGACTTTCTACATCGGTTCCTTACAACCGATGTGGAAAGTCACACTTTCTACATCGGTTCTAGAACCGATGTTAAAAGCCTATTTTGTACTAGTGTCTTATTTAATATATTCTTTAGAAATTAGAGAAGCAATTAAATACTAATAAAATATTACCGTTAATGAGAGAGTATGAAAAAGTGAGAGAAAATAGAAAGGTCAGATAATAAAATTATTTTTAATCTTTCTTATTTAATTTATTCCTTCAATTTTTTTCTTTATGATATATTTAATATTAGGGAGGCTAAAATCATAAATATACAAGTAAGTTACAAAACTTTAGGGGGTCATGGCTCCCCTTAATTACGATGAAGATCCGCTACTTGGCAGCACGTTTATAAAGATTAATATAAACTTTATGAATATTTTATTAAATTTATGTTAACAAAGTATAATCTTTGGTTGGTAGAAACTTTCCAGTTATTTTTTTATACAAATTAATGTTGGTAAATTTACAAG